TGCTTTTATGCTATGGACTGGGCCAGCTCAGCACACCACTGGGAATGGCTTATCATTTCCTCCAAATGGTACTTCTCACACCACCACTGAATCTTTGTTCCTTTGGGATATGGGATATGGGATTGCCTTTATAGATATTTCCCTGGGCACACATATACTTATATATCCAGAGGCAAATTCTTATGCAAAACATATGAGAAAAACTCCTGATCCAACTTGCTCATCATCTTTCCCCACAACAAACCCAAACCAATCACACCCACACTTTCATGAAAATGTAGGAACATGTAGGCAAAAGAAAGAAACAATAACAGAAGAAATACTGAGAATGGAGAGTAAGAGAAAATGAAGAGAAGCAGACAAATGGAAAAGAATGAAAAGGGTAACGATTGTACAAGATACACAAAAAAAGAGAAATGAAAGGGGGCATCCCATTGAGTCACTTCTTTACTCCTACATCTGAAGCCTGAATTACAAAACATCAGGGAATCCAAATATGCCCAGTAGGCTGCCTTTATTCCTACCGGAGCCCTCTGTCTTAGCCTTCAGCCCAACTGCTAGGATGAAGGGCAAGGGTTAAGGTTCTATAAACAATCTGTTGCCTTGAGAGGTTTCTTTCAATGAGGAGAATCCCCATCTGAAATGTGGTCACCTGGGACACATGAGCACTGGCAGTTCCAAATCTCCATCAGACAACTTCCTAAGGAGTTTGGATGGCAACATGGCATTTCATCTCAGAATGGCAGCTGGGAGATGTTAACACTTCTCTAATTGGGATAGTATGGTTTTAAAATAAATAGGCATTTCAAATGCTCTTAATTAGACTTCCAGCCAAAGTGCTTTCCGTTTGAAGTTTGCTGATTACTTCAGGCGAAGCTGGGTGCTGCTGAACCTGACACCTGCTGTAATTCAGAAGACTCCCAGAGAGATGAACAGAGGAATTAAGGTACAAGCCTGTGTCTGAAAACGATGCAGCAGTTTTCCACAGGCCTAGGGAGTGTCTGCCCCAGCTAGAAGAACCATCCCTCAGAGTGGGTAGGGACTGGACAGCAGAAAGGATGGAAGATCTCTTGCCCACAAAGCCATGGAAATGGCTTCCCATGCCCAAGATGAAAATTGCCTCTAGAGTTGAGTGGTATTTTTCACATCATTTCTTTATTTTTAAACTTCCATTTTCAAATTTTAGATTCGCGAGTACATGTGCAGGTATGTTGCATGATGCCGAGGTTTGGGCTTGTATTGATCTCATCACCAAGGTAGTAAACACAGAAACCAATAGAAGTTTTTCAGCCCTTGCTCCCTTCCCTCCCTCCCTCCTTTGGAGTCTCTGGTGTTTGTTGTCTCCATCTTTCTGTCTGTGTGAACTCAAGATTTAGCTTCCACTTATAAGTGAGAACATGTGGTATTTGGTTTTCTGTTCCTGAGTTAATTCACTTAGGATAATGGCCTACAGCTGTATTCATGGCGCTGCAAATGATGTGATTTTGTTCTTTTTTATGGCTGTGTAGTATTCCATGGTGTGTACCACATTTTCTTCATCTAGCTCACCACTGATGGGCACCTAGATTGCCCATCAATCTAGGTTCCATGTCTTTGTTATTGTAAATAGTGCTGCAATGAACATACGTTTGAGTGCATGTGTTTTTTTGGTAGAATGATTTATTTTTCTTTTGGTATACCCAGTAATGGGATTGCTGGGTTGAATTGTAGTTCTATTTTTAGTCCTTTGAGAAATCACCAAACTGCTTTCCAGAGGGGGTGAGCTAATTTGCATTCCCACCAGCAGTTTACAACTGTTCCCTTTTCTCTGCAACCTGGCTAACATCTGTTATTTTTTGACTTTTTAGCAATAGCCATTCTGATTGGTGTGAGATGGTATCTCATTGCGATTTTGATTTGCATCTTTCTGATGATTAGTGATGTTAAACATTGTTTCATATGCTTTTTGGCCACTTGTATGTCTCCTTTTGAGAAGTGTCTGTTCCTGTCTTTGCCCACTTTTTAATAGGGTTTTTTTTTTTCCCCATATTGATTCATTTAAGTTCCTGATAGATTCTGGATATTAATCTTTCATTGGATGCATAGTTTGAAAATATTTTCTCCCATTCTGTAAGTTGTCTGTTTACTCTGTTGAGAGTTTCTTTTGGTGTGCAGAAGCTCTTTAGTTTAATTAGGTACCATTTGTCTTATGTTTGATTTTGTTGCATTTGCTTTTGTGGTCTTTATCATGGATTCATCGCCTAGACCAACGTCTAGAAAAGAATTTCCCAGGTTTTCTTTTAGAGTTTTAACAGATTGAAGCCTTACGTTTAAGTCTTTAATCCATCTTGCATTAATTTTTGTATATGGTTGGAGGTAGGGGTCTAGTTTCATTCTTCTCTGACTGGTTAGCCATTTATTGAATAGGGTGTTCTTTTCTCATTATTTTTCTCATTGTTATATAAATGAGTAGCCATTTATTGAATAAATAGAGCTACCATTTATTGAATAGGGCATTCTTTTCTCATTGTTTATTTTTGTTGACTTTGTTGGAGATCAGTTGGTTGTAGGTGTGTAGCTTTATTTCAGAGCCTTTGCCCTGTTCCATTGGTCTATATGTCTGGTTGTGTACTAATATCATAATGTTTCGTTTAGTAAGACTTGTAGTTTAGTTTGAAATTGGGTAATGTGATACCTCCACCTTTGTTCTATTTGCTTAGGATGACCTTGGTTATTTAGGCTTTTTTATGGTTCCATATGAATTTTAGAACAGTTTTTTTTTCTAATTCTGTGAAAAATGACATTGGTAATTTGATAGAAATAGTATTGAATCTATAGATTGTTTTGGACATTTTAACAATATTGATTCTTCCAATTCATGAGCATGGAATACTTTTCCATTTGTTTGTGTTACCTATGATTTCTTTCAGCAGTGTTTTGTAGGTCTCCTCATAGAGATCTTTCATCTTTGTCATTAGGTGCATTCCTAGATATTTTTATTTTTTGTGGCTATTGTAAATGGGATTGCATTCTTGATTTTCAGCATGAAATTTTTTGGTGTAGGGAAATGCTACTGATTTTTGTACATTCATTTTGTATCCAGAAATTTTGCTGAAGTGGTTTACCAGGTCTTGGAGTCTTTTGGCTTAGGGTTTTCTAGGTATACAGTCATAGCAGCAAAGAGAGATAATTTGACTTTTCTTTTCCTGTTTGGATGCCTTTTATTTCTTTCTCTGGCCTCATTGCTCTGGCTAGGACTTCCCAGATTGTTGTTTCTATGGAACCAGAAACATGAAGGCTGAAGAAGAGGACAGATGTTTCAGGGCCAGGTGGCAGCTCTTGGGGATGACTCCACATCCAGGGACCTGCCCAGGGTGAGCATGAAGCAGGATACACCTTGGTACAGTTTTCCAGAAGAGGTCACTTTGCCTTCCCAAGCCTGGCCCAAGAAGTTGGGTCACCCTGGCTTTTGTTGAAGACACTTTGCAGAATCCTAATTCTAAGTGTGTGCTCAAGTCTCTGGAACTGGGAGGGCAGTGTACCTGACCCCTGAGTCCCAGGACCAACAGTGGGAAGTTCAGAGCTCTAGTCGCTATGGCTTAAGTGCCCTTGTCCTATGTTTCTTATGTAATCAGTAGTTATTCTAAATCATCATTATTACTACTGAAACTAAACAACCAACTTTCATAATAATACAAGTTACAAGGTCAAATGAGCCATTGCCATGACTTTAGGGGCTCTCCCCCACTTCCCCACCATTGGCCTGGGTGCTGGATTTCTCTAATTACAGGTCATTGAGGGCTCAAGTCATCTCAAGTCTCAAGGGGAACATTTTTTTTTTTTTGGTCTGGAATACATGAGTTTCTTTTTTTTTTTTGAGACGGAGTCTCGCTCTGTCTCCAGGCTGGCGTGCAATGGCATGATCTTGGCTCACTACAACCTCTGCCTCCCAGATTCAAGGGATTCTCCCATGAGTCCCATACAAGGCTCAGCCTCCCATGTAGCTGGGACTACAGGCATGCACCACTACGCCCAGCTAATTTTTGTTGAGACGGGGTTTCACTATATTGGCCAGGATGGTGTCCATCTCTTGACCTCGTGATCCATCTGCCTCGGCCTCCCAAAGTGATGGGATTACATGTGTGAGCCACTGTGCCTGGCCTCTGAATTTCTTATTTAATCCAAGCTTTCCACAAATTGTTGGTCCCAGCTAGCTGGGGAGGCAACAAGGTAGTTCTGCCCAGGAACTGTGGTTACCAGTCTTCTGTGAGGTGCACTCTTCTCCCAGGTGACTTCATTGGGTCACATATCAAAAAAGTATGTTTTCTGCAGATGTCCACTGCTTAAAAGGTGCCAAGGGCCACTTAGAATATGACTGTCCTGGTTTAGTGTTTGCATTCTTCATGCGTTGAAGTGGGCTGATTATTGCAGTGGGCAGTAAACAGCATGAGTGCTAAGAGCACCAAGCTTGGACTCAGACAGAACTGGGTTCAGATCCTTGTTTCAGCATTCACTGGCTACATGACCTTGGGAAGGCACTGAATCTCCCCCATCTGGTAAATGCACTTACCTCTTTGACACTGTGGATGAAAGGAGACTGCATATGAGGTTGTGCAAGAGACATGAGTCTGTAAACAAATACTGTTTTCATCATTAACTATTTCTGTCAGGATTAGTTAGTAGTGGCTCTGAAAAGTTCAGATAGGATCCTGAGGAGCTGGGACACAGGGGATGAATTTAGGTTGGGGATACGGGGTGGGAAAGGTTAGGGGGATGAGGCAACAGATGGAAGGGTAGGATGCCAGGTGCTGACAGTCAGGTTAGGACTAGAACACAGGCTAGGGAAACGGGTCCCATAGAGGGGGAGCATCCAAGGAAAGCTGTGTGGATAGCAACGCTTGCCGTCTTTAACTTCAGATAGTGTTTTAAATAGGTTATCTTTTAGCTGGGTTCCGAGTCCCAAAATCAGGTCAGTTTATATTACCTTCATCTTCCTCCTGCAGATCCTCCTTTGTACCTACCTAGAGCTACTTGTTGTATATGCCGCTGGGTGATTTCTTCCTTCAGGTGACCTGCCAAAGACACAAAGAAAAACTACCAGTGAGTTTCCAATGGGCTGGAGAAAGACTGCCTCAGAAGCATGTGGCAAGCTATAGGAAAAGAAAAGGTAGAGTAAGGGAGACAAAAGCAGGCATAGCTTCCAAGAAATGCCCTTCCGTGCTGTAGATGGTGTTGGAAGAAGAGGTTACAAAGGCCTAGGTGTTGACACATGAGTGCAAATACACATTTCACCTTGAGTTCAATCATCTTAGGGTTCAAATATCTTGGTCCGTCAACCGTAACTTTTGCTGAGGTCCTGTTCTCTTAAATGGTTCTTTCTATTATTAATAAAGGGAAAGGCAGAATTTGGTCTTTTAATAAGTTTTAGGCCTACTTTGAAATCCACTGATTTCTTTAAGCTATATGAAACTGCATCAAATAAAAAAAGGTGGCGGTTTTAGCTGACAATAACCCTAATAGTTGATCATTTGGTATGAAACTCACGTAATTCTAGTTTACATTAATAAAGCTATGGTGCTCAGAGAACAGTGATAATTTCCTATAGAGAGGTGATTGTTCGACTGTGCTCTACAAGTGAGGAGATTTCAGCTGGTATTTGTTCTGGGAGTTACTCTACATAAGGAATATTTGCAAAATAGAAAATATGCAGAAGATGGTGAGTGGAACGGTGAGGGGTCTGAAACCATGCCATATGAGAAACAGTTAAGGTGACTTGAGACATTTAGCTGGAGAAGACAAGACTTGGAGAGGAGGAATGGAGATAACGGCTGTCTTTGAATATCTGAACATTGGCATATGAATTATAAACAGTTTTGTTTTTATCTTACTCTTGAGGGCAGAAGTTAAGTCAAATGAATGCAGACTTGGGCTCCATACAAGGAAGAAACAGCTCTCAAGAAGGACTGTCTGTCTCAAAATGGATTAAATCTTCTGGCAAAGCAGTGAGCCCCTTCCTGAAAGTGTTCAAGCAAAAGCTGGGTGACCATCTGTTGGGTTGTTAGAGTGAGAATTCCTGCCCTGGCTAGGGTCTGGGAGGCAATGACCTTCAGGCTTCCTCCGTCTCTAAAATTCTTGGATTTCGTGCTTGAAGGATGGGTGAAACAGCAGCCCAGAGTTTGTTTATGTCCAAGGGCTCAGCACACTTGTTAAAATGTCAGTGTTGTCTGCATTGCATGTCCCATTTGGTTGGGGGGATGTGATCAGGACACTGGGGGATTCCAAGAAAGCCTGGAAAATTCATTGCTTTCTTGTCTAAGATATTTCTTTCTTCACATAAGTACATTCTATACCTCCAAGGGTATAGCCGAATTGAGGATTCAAAAGATGAGTAGATAAGGAAGCAGTCACAGAGATTTTTTTCATTTACAGAGAGTTCTAGGGCACTCCTAGCCTGTTATGACTGGGAGGGGTGGCAGAGGCCATTCAGTTCAACTTTGCACCCAATTTACAAATCCCTTCTACAGAAGGAAATGGGCATTTCCCTTCTGACTTTTATGTATTCAAGGTATTCCATTAAGTTATATATAAGAAGTTAATTTTGTGGACTTGCACCTACTTCCCTATACTTCAGCTATTTGCCTGGCCTGTTCTCAGGTCAGCACAGAAAAAGATCCTCTGTCATTGGCAGTGAGAGCCCTTCACACATCTGAGGACGCTATGATTGACTTCTCTACTTCAACTTGCCCTCTCTGTAGGTCAAACATCACCAGTCCTTAAGTGATACCTTGGAGGCCACTATTTCCAGGCACATCATTGTCTTGGGTGAGGGTCTAGGGCACCTGTATGTCTGTGCCTTGGTTTCCATGTGTCCCCACTGGAGTAGATTATGCATAGAAAGCATGGCAGGCATTGGGCCTAAGCAATAATTGCACCCTTGTTCCATGTGAGGGAAGAGTGGGGACTTCAGAAGTGTGCTGAGGGGGACTTGGAGAAGTAGAAACTTGGCCCAGTGACGAGTGTTGGTGAACCTGGATCCAAGAGGGGAAAATGACTTGACACCTGAGCTAGCCACAGCCCCAAATGGATCTTTTCCCTGCTCGGTGCTACCTGACCCTTATTGTCCATATCAGCAGAGTAAAGAAGTTGGGGACATAAGGCTGCTGCTGGACTGAGACTCTAGGCTGCATCAAACACTGCTGGATTGAATTTTAAGACGGAACAGCACATGCATGCCCCAAATTAAAGGGGATATTGCTCTGACAAATGCAACACACCACTTGGAAACATTTCTTGATTTAGAGTGGGTCATCGAAGCCTTTTTAATCCTGCAGTATGGAGAATCAGTGGTGCTTTGGTACCCTGCCTGTTTTCTGGGTATCTGGCACAGCCTTACACCACGAGCCTCTCATATGCCTGGGTACTGCCTTTCTAATGAGCCTGGACACTGGCATGCTCCTTTAGAGCATACAGTGGGTCACACTGCTCCATGGAAAATTACCTCCCTGATAATAAGCCTCCTCAATAATAAGCCTTCCTGACGATGGGCCTCGTGGACCACATGCCTCCTGCCACATGCTACCTCAAGTCTATGCTTCCCAACCTCATGCCTTGACCACAGTAGGCACATTCAACCCTTTGTTTCCCAAGCCCTAGGAAGCCCTAGGGAAGCTTGTTTTTGGAATGACAGGGTTAAGGATTCTTTACGGCCCCTGGTTTAGGAGGAGCTGCTCAGGTAAATAAAGAGGGGATTTTGCCACCACAAACATAAATAGTCTCAGAACAATGAGGCACCCCCAGGGCACAAAAGGTGGGTCTTTATAATGTTGCATATGGATAAAGATTGTTTTACAATGTGGTTAGTGATACTGAGTTTTGGTGAATTGACTAACATCTCCCACCACACGGCAACCGTTTTTGATTTCCCCAGACAAGCTTCCAAAAATAGCCTTATGGCTGATACCTAATTGCATTTTCTAACAGAGCTATTCTTCATGTGCAGATAACGGTCTCTGTAACCTGCTGGATCCTGCAGCTCCATGAGTTTTGGCAAAAGAAGGAGTTGAGGGGGATTGCAGAATTCACTCAGCATGCAGCTTGCTGTCATTACCAGGCTGATAAATCTGCTGGTTTTGGCCTAGGTTCCTGGACACATTCCCATCCAGAGGTATGGAAAAGAGATGAATTGGAAACAGAGAACTCCCAGCCTGTGGCCAGAGACAGTCTGGGAGGGAAGTTGGGAACCCAGATTGGGGCTGAAAACGAAAACGGCAGGGGAGGGAAGGAATGCTCTGCCTGCAGGAGTGTCCATAATTAGTACATTTTCCTCTAGTAATTGACCACAGTACATGCTAGAAACACCTTCTCTCCCTTTTGATTCATTAATTGATGGAATGGAGGAGGCAGCGGGGAGCAGAGCTTACAGCAATCCATGGGAAAGCTCCAGAGAAGAGGAGTGACCTTAAATATGACCGGGAGCAGGGTATGTGGAGGTGGTGCTCTGTGTGGTGTATGGGTTTGCTCTGTTACTGAGTAGTTCTAGGGAAAGTATTAACATCATGCAGAAGTGAAACTGATTTTTTTTACATCAATATACAGTCTTTTGAATAAAACAATTTTCCATAAGCTTCACACTTTATTTTGCATGCATGCTAGTTTGAGATTATTCACCATGCGAATGCTGTTTGGCTGGCCCAGAGGAGAGCTATTCACTTATGATTCCTTCAGTATCTGTCTGCTGCTCCTGCAATTTCTGTGATGCTGTGCCTCATTAAAAATGTTTATGTTGCTATCAAGCAACAAATACTTATCTCTCATCTACTATAGGTTAAGCACTATGCTCTAAGTGCTGTGGAGTATACACACTCATAGACAGCTCTATCCTAGCCTAGGAAAGTCAGTGCGGTACAGGGATTGGCAAATAGGTGGCCTGTGTGCTCTTTCTTTTAAATGCTGGACCAATGGCTGGCCTGGCTCCTTGATCAGGAACCGTTTGCTTTTCTGCTGAGCCTGAGTTTGGCTCTTCCATACAGGACTTTGCGCAGCTACAGCCCATCACTTGGAGTTGGACTTGAGATATAGCAAACCTCTTTGCCATTTCAGTTATTCTAGAGAATAATTACAAATCTGGTCTGGGTGTGGTGGCTCATGCCTGTGATCCCAGCACTTTGGGAGGCCGAGGTGGGTGGATCACCTGAGGTCAGGCGTTTGAGACCAGTCTGGCCAACATGGTGAAACTCCGTCTCCACTAAAAATACAAACATTAGTCAAGCATGGTGGCAGGCACCTGTAATCTGAGGTACTCGGGAGGCCGAGGCAGGAGAATCACTTGAACCCAGAGGCAGAGGTTGCAGTGAACTGAGACAGTGCCACTGCACTCCAGCCTGGGCAATGGAGTGAGACTCTGTCTCTGGAAAAGGAAAAAGAAAATAATTACGAATCTGGAGGTAGACAGAGTTGAGTTCAAATCCCAGTTTTGCTACTTCTTAGTTGGATGGGCTGATTAACATCTCTAAGCCTCACTGCTATCATTTGAAAAAATAGAAATAATATGATAATGGCAATAATATCCACTTTACTATATCTCAAGATCTTTCGGAGGAGCAAGGGATAACACACCAGCACGTATGATATACCACGCTGGTTTCAGGTATTCAGGCACTTTCAGACATATTGGAAAGATACTACATGGTTAAGATGACAGGCCAAGTGGCTAAATGTCAAATCAATGGTAGAGATACATTTAGAGGAGGGAAAGGAGACATTGGAAAACGCATAATTACTACAGGCAAGTCGAGTAGGCTCACAAAAGAGCGAGGGTTTTAAAGTGGGCTTGGGAAGGGCACCCTAGTCTGAGAGAACTGCTGGGACTATAACGAAGGCCAAGTATCTCCTGGTTTGGGACAGGGGTGGCAAGGGAAGGCTGAGTGGAGGACTAGCGCTGGGGAAGACTGAGTTGTATTCACACTGGAGTCTGGGGTCCTGGGTAATTACTAAGAGCTCTGGACCCACGTAAACTCTATTTGTCTGTTTGATGATACTACTGGAGTGTCTGGGCAAAATTGGGTTAAAATAA